CTTTTATGTTAAGTTATTGCTGGGATCATGGGCTTAATATTTAATACTTGTTCCAGAGAACCACAGTAGAATGGAATAATAGCAGACATGACTCAAACTGTGACTTTAAAAGTTGCCAACTATGACACTGTTTGACCAACTATAGAAACATGTGTGCATCAGGAGGCAGAGATACACTACCGGGGCAGAGATAAAACAAATACCACCAAAGTTAGGCAATTTGTAAATTTTCCAGTATTAATCTGTTGGGAATAACAACATGTGCTCCCTGTGTTCCAGCAATCTAAAGAAACACTTGGACCTCTCTGGGCAACACAAGGAGTACTCCTTGAGTATTCAAAGCTGCAGTTTTAAGGCACAATCCAGAAAAGGTGGAAAGGGATAAAACGGTGGAAGTTTTCTGCTCTGCATCGCCCTGCTGCCTTGATACCACTAGTTCAACTATAGTTGAACTCAGGGGTCTTGAAAATCTCCCTGCAATTAATTGCTCATAGAGTCCCAGTACGTTGGTGTGTTGCAGTGGGAATAGTACACAGGAAGGTAAAAGATCAGTTTTGGGGATGATGTTGGGCCTCGGTAGAAGCGAGTGAGCGAAGGAGAAACAGTGCAGAGAATAAGCAACGGCAAAGCGCATTTAAGGTCCTAAAAAGCAAAGGCCGTAAATGAGTCCTCATTTTTTGGAGGTGGTTGGCTGTAGAATACAAGGCAATCACAAAAACTATATTGCAAGGAAGAAGGCATGTTACGTACTTAGCGTGTATTTAATCTGCGGCCATTTTAGCAATGTGGAAATGTTTCTTTCAGTGTTGGCAAAGGTTGTTTCCTGGGTGCATTTGGGGGAAAAAGCATTTTCTATCTTTTTGTGGATGAAGAAAGTGTACAAAGAAAGAGGTACGTTTTTAGCGAGAGGCTAGTGTCAACAGTGGCAGTGTATGAGAGGGTGATTCTTTAGGAACAAAGATCAAAACTCCTTATATTACTGTATCAATTTGAAGGCAAAAGTGTTACAAGTGATGAATTGAAATGGGATTTGCTGGTCAAAAATGGGCTGCGACAGTGATTGCTAAACCTCTTGGTATAAACATGGTGTCTGAGACTGCCTAGGTAGGTGCAGATAGAACCCAATGCAGTTACAGGGCTCCTCATTTTTATTTGAGCTCCTGCCAGTTGTTCAGCAGCAGACATGTGCTGTCTGCCTTCTATCTCCAAATTCCTCATGAGGTGTAGATTTCTTTGTACTTTATAATTATAATGTTAAGAGCTTTAGGATAATATGACCAAAAAGATAAGTGAAAAGATAACCATAGGCTGATACAATTTTTCTGTGGTCTTTAGATCAGTCCTTATGCAATGTCTTTTAAGTACTTGTAATTTAATTGAAGTAGTAAAGCTTTCAGGCTTGGCATCTGTGCAGAGGACCTTCCCAAACTCTTATGAGCTGTGTTCAGATACTTTCTTTGTGACAAAAGGGTGACAGCCCTCTATTTGAGGGAGGGGCATGATTCAAATGTATGGAATCCCAAAGCTTGTGGAAGAGATGAATACAAACAGTTCTTCGGCAAAGTTTGCAGTGGTAGAACAAGGGGCACTTTCTGACACTAGAAAGAGATCAAGTTAAAACAGCAAAAAGTGCTTCTTTTTAGACAGTGGGCAGTTAAACTCTGGTGCTGTCTGCCACAAGAGGTTGTGGAGGCAGGTTCAAAAAGTGGTTAGATGAATTTGTGGACAATGAGTCCCTAAATGGCTGCTGAAGGGAGTAGAATCATAGAATCGCTTTGGTTGGAAAAGACCTTTAAGATCATCAAGTCCAAACTTTAACCTAACCCTGCCATCCCACCACTAAACCCTGTCCCTAAGCACCTCACCTATCCTTCTTCTAAATAACTTCCAGGGATGGGGACTCAACCACCTCCCCGGGCAGCCCATTCCAGAGCCTGACAACCCTTTCTGTGAAGAAGTTTTTCCTAAGGTCTAGCCTAAACCTGCCCTGGTGCAACTTCAAACCATTCCCCCTCATCCTATTGTCTGTTACCAGTGAGAAGAGGCCGACCCCCACCAGGGGTAGGTAGGAGCATAGCCTTTAATTTCCTGCTGTAATAGTTTAAGATGCTGAGAATGAGGAGAACGGGCTACATAAACCAGCCAGGTTCATGTGCTTTCCTTGAGTTGCGTGCCCTTTTGCCACCTTTGGAGACGGAGCACTAGGCTAGATGCACCACTCCGCTCACCCAGTAGGGTTTTTCTTGATTGCTGTTTTTTCCTTGCATAATTTGCATTTATCGAAATTGCTCAGAATTCAATTTAACCACACCTTGCACTTTGCAGTGCCTCCTCTTGGCTGGGAGCAGAGTGCCCCTTTTGCATAAGTTCAGCTGGCTGAAATATTCTCCTATGAGTACTCATCAGAATTGGCTGAAGCATTAAGCTGAATGAAGTCCTGTCCTACTTGTGTCACATTCTCTCTGCTCAGCCTTTGAAAGATACGGGGCCGCTACTGGAATAACTTAGTGAAATTCTTATTGATACTCCTGGCAAATCCCTGACACGGCAAAACAATAGCTAGAAGGAAGAAGTTAGTTTAAGCCTCCCAGACTTAGTCTTCAGCTGTGGTGTATGTTGTGGGTTGGTTGTTTTTTTTTTTTTTTTAAAGTAACTGCTAAGCTGCAGTAATCATTGTGATAAAGGGCTCTTTAAGCGTTTCTCTTTGGTTTTGGGTTAATTTCCCTATTTTTCCCAGGGATACCATATCAGCATGTGCTTTCTGACACCTACAGGAGCTGGATGAGAGAGCATATGGCTGTAAGGGAACTGGTTAAGTTCCCTTAAGTATAAATCCCTGAAGTATAATATCTGGAAATTTCTGATTAGGGTCTGAGCTTACAGTCTTCTGGTAATGGGAAAAGAAAGGTTTTTTGATTTTGGTTGTTTTTTTTTTTTTTTGCCTCTGAGTATGTCAAAATAGTCTGAGAGTTCAGATATAAAGAAAAACTGAAATGTATGGGGTTTCTAAATTCTTTCCTGCTGCAAGACTTCAATCACTCGATGTGCATTTGAAGCAGAAAGGCAAATATTAGTTTAAAAAAAAAAAAGCACCAGAGAATACAGAAAATGATATATAGATCAGTGTTATGTCTTAAGGGAGAGAATACTGCAAAATTGGACACCTCATTGCAAGGAATATTGTAAAGCTGAAAGATGAGATAAAAGCATTGAGAATGTTTAGAGGGCCTGGAAGAATAGGCAATTTAACTTGGTGGTAAATGAGACCCTACTGAAGTGTGTGCTTTATAAGGCTGACAATCAAAGGAAAATTCTGGGGCATTGAAAGGTGTCAAATTTGAAGCTAAAGAACAGGAAATACATATATTATCTGTCAGTGAGCTCCATAAAAGGGAGAAGAATTGGTGTGTGGATAAGCAATGATAGTGGCACTCGGTTGCCTACATCTGACAGCGTTGAATTGAATGTTCAGATCTTACACCGTGAATTGATAGTGTTTAAAACGTGATCTTTGAAGCAAAAGAGGCTATCCTCTTTGGTTTGGTCTTTCTGAATTTCTTACGTATGCCTCTCAAGCATCTAATATTGGCCTTGCTCAAATGTTGAAGTCTTTTTATAAAGCTCAGAGTGGCTGCCATTCCCCGTTTCGGAAACCTAGTGAGAGTGTTTCTTAAAACAGCAGTGGCTGTGCAAGCCTCCTGTCTCACCTCTGGAGCTACCCAGTGTAACGGGATTAGGGGTCTAATACATTTCACTCCTAGGCCTGCGAAGATTTCACATGTGGAAAAGGGAGTAAGACTGCTTAATTTGGCTTTGCCACCTAAGTAAATTCTCTAAATTAAAGTTACATGCCCAGGATGCATTTCCAGCAATGCAGTCAACCGCTGCTGAAGGCTGGGGCTGAAGTTCTCCATCCACATTCCTGTAACTCACCTGACATCAGCGTGAGTACTTACAGTACGGTGTGTGAGCTGGTGCAACCTGTTAACCTGGGAGAGAACTAACTCAGTAAAAAACAACCCCCAAACCCAACCACTTGATTGGTTTTTACTTGGTTATCTAGCTGAGTCTTTGTGGAAAGGTATCAGCGTTGGTGCCGAGGTGCTGGTGGTGCCACATGAAAGAAAGGAAGGAGGCCTGAGTTTCCTGAGGCAGTAGGCTGTTGGGTTGGCTTGGCTCCCTATGGAACTATACCCTGAGTGTCCTATTCAGTGTTTAATTTCATGGAATCATAGAACCATAGAATGCTTTGGGTTCGAAGGGACCTTTAGAGGTCATCTAGGCCAACCCCCCTGCAATGAGCAGGGACATCTTCAACTCCATCAGGTTGCTCAGAGCCCCGTCCAGCCTGACCTGGAATGTCCCCAGGGATGGGGCATCCACCACCCCTCTGGGCAACCCGTCCCAGTGTTTCAGCACCCTCGTTGTAAAGGATTTCTTTCTTCTATGCAGTCTGAATCTACCCTGTTTTAGTTTCAAACCATCACCCCTTGTCCTGTCACAACCGGCCCTGCTAAAAAGCTTGACCCCCAGTTTGACAGTGTTGGATATTGAATTTATTTTTCTTGTGTTTGCTCCAGCCAGGGCTCCAGTGCAATGCTTTTGCAGGCCACAAAACCTGCAGTCTGAAATACTGGGGCCAATTTGCTAATAATTTAACATTATTGAAAGAACAAAAGTTCTTTTCATAGTATAATCTTGTGTAAAAATGGATGCTTTGACTTTTTACCAAGGCCTCTACTGACAGACCAGGTGGCAACAGTTTTCAACTGAGAGAGAGTAAATTTAGATTGGACATAAGGAAGAAATATGTTACAGTGAGGTTGATGAGGTACTGGAACAGGTTGCCCAGAGGAGTTGTGGATGCCCCATCGTTGGAAGTGTTGAAAGTCAGGCTGGACGGGGCTTTAAGCAGCCTGATCTAGATGTCCCTGCCCGTGGCAGGGGGGTTGGACTAGATGATTTTTTCGAGGTCCCTTCCAACCCAACCCATACAATGACGTTCTCATTTAGGATAGATGATTTTGCATCACTTCCATAAAGTTACCATTGTTAATCTTAAGTCCTTGGGAATTGGAACCTCTGTCTCCTTGACCCCAGAAAACTATATATCTTGCTTCAGTCCTATTTGAGGTGCTCTCAGAAGCTGCTGTATGGAGGTTTAATTTAGTTGAAACTGAAATGTCATTCCTACTGAATGTTCTGTTTTGTAGAAGTTGAAAAGTTAAGGTTTAAAGTTACCTGTAGAATACAATCTAGCATTTGTTTGACTTACTGGTCCTCACTGAAACAGCAAAGACGTGACAAGGCATAAATTAGCCATGAATACTGTATCCTGAAGTATCCCAAATCAACCATGCTGTTTTGCAGAAGGGAAGTTTCAGTAAGTTGGTATATTTTGGATAGAAGTGAGGTGTGCACCTGTACAGGGTGGAGAGGTATGTGAGCTGCCTTGAAAGCTCCAGTCGAGTAGCCTGAAGGTAACATTAGCTCTTGACTAAAACAAGGTATTTTCAGCTGACTGAACTAACTTACACAGCCTGGAAATAAGGTAACTTTCTGGAGTTCAAATACCCATCTGCTGCCTGGAAATAAGGTTGTTTTTGACTTCAGTGCCATACTTCCCTCCATAGGACCGTTAGTCCTCAAGCAATTTCTAACAGCTGTCTGCCTGAAATAATACGGTTGATTTGGAGCTTATGTTTTAATACCCAAAACTAGCCTAATAGAAGCTGCAAAACCAAGATGGTTTTTTTTTTTCTAAATTTCTCTTTTAAATGATTTGAAGTGCAAATCGCAGTGAATGCTAAACATAGCCTAAGTTTCAGTATCCCTTCTGATCTTTCATTTTATATAAACATCCTGATCAGGTGGTTGATACTGAATGAAAGGCTATCGAAATTGAAAACACAGTTCTACTACTCAGGTGTCTGCAGGACTAAGATTTTAAATATCCTTTAATGAATTTTGAAAGGCTTGATGATTTTAAGTACTGCCAGTTGAGAAGATTCCTTATCCGTAGGCCACTGAACTCTAGATTGAAAGATGGGAGTGAATTTCAAATTGGTGTCCCTAGTGGAACAAAAATTACTAGTTATTTAAAACATGACAAAATGAGAAAAGGCTTGTGATATGGTTGGCTATTGGAAGACTTCTGTCAAGCCATAATGCCTAAATGACATTCCAAACACAAATTTTGCTTACTAAATTAATTTGGAGATGGGCAGAACATGTGTATATGTGTATGCGCTTTGTCAATCACTCGTGGAAATATTTAAAAAAATGACTAAAACCAGCCAGCCTAGGTGCAAAGCTAGGCTCCAGTTAACTTCTTTATTTTCTGGAGTTGACTTTAGCCAGGAAAGATTTGAGGGAAAAATTAAGTGTCTAACCTGACAGTAACCTTACTCTGCGGCACTGTTGAAGAGTCTGTAGCAGACTTGTGTTTTAACTTTATTGAAGTACCTAATCATGATGCAGACTACTTCTGAACTATTATCTGACTTGGTTTGGGATGCAGTGTCCTATGGCATTTGGTAATGAACGGTCATGAGCAAGATACTTGTTTGATGTGAAACTTTGGTGCTAATGTGTCTGTTTTGGTTTGTGTTTTTAGGCATCAGACGGGAATCTCTAATTTATTGCTTGCTGAGTGTTCTGTCTGGTGAAAGTCATGTCATCCATATTGCCGTTCACTCCACCCGTTGTGAAGAGACTTCTGGGGTGGAAAAAATCTGCTGGTGGCTCTGGAGGGGCTGGTGGTGGTGAGCAGAATGGTCAGGAGGAAAAGTGGTGTGAAAAAGCAGTGAAAAGCTTGGTCAAGAAGCTAAAGAAAACAGGACAGCTGGATGAGCTTGAGAAGGCAATTACCACTCAGAATTGCAATACAAAATGTGTGACGATACCAAGGTAAGTGCTCTTGTGTTTGAAATTGTTACAGCCGCTTAAGAAATGACTAAAGGGATGCTTAGGCTATCCTGTGAGCAAATGACTAAAAAAATCAGTTGCATGCTTTTGATTCTTTAAAAATTCTTTAAAACCTATTTTGGTTTTACGTAGTGCTTGCTTACAACTGAATCACATGCTTTGTGAAGTCACAGTTTCTAATAATAACATTACATTTCAATTTTCATTACTATGTAGATTCCAATTTACATGTATTCTGGCAGTGCCTAGCACAGGACTTGGCTTGTAGCACTGCCTTATGCTTTTATTTAACAACCCTGTCTATGATCGGAGGGGCATACCTGAACCTACACTTCCACTTAAAAAAAAAAAAAAAGACTGGTTTTTCCTTGGTCAACACTTCAGTCACCTCATTATTTTCAGTTGTATATGGTAGTTTCATTTAAGTTGTACAAGCTGCATCCATTCTCCCTTTCAACGGGAAATTTTATCTTTGGAGGCAGGTTGTCTGAAGACCGGCTTATTTACTGTAATCATTATTTGTTATCGGTTAATGAAAGTGCCTTTTATTTAATAGCTTGGAGTATTTCTAGAACTGCTTTTCTGCTCCTGATTTGTATATACATTTAGGTGAACGACTTGAATTCTACCCCTTTGACTTTCTCAACTTAATTCATAGCAACTGCTGTGCGAGAGGCAAGGGTTATGTTTGTAAGTATCATGCAGTCTGCTCTCGATTCATGTTGTGCAGAAATCCCACTAAGGTGCGTGTGTAAGCTCATTATGTCTGACATAAGTATCCAATCACTTCACAAGTGTGTTTTTCTATGAAAAGGTTAGAGGATCTGGTGGCACAGGAGTGTTCTGGACATGTAGCCCCTTGACACTTAAAATAATTTCTAGGAGAGAGAAAATGCATCTGGTTTATGACCTTAATTTCTGTATTAGCACATTCATCCCAGCTGATTTCAAACTTTGTATTAAGTCAAATCTAGCTTGCGCTATGATTATTTCAGTGATGATTTCCATATGTCAAATGTGTTTATAGGTGTTACCTGATAATGGTTCTAGCATTCTCTTTTAGATTTGACACAACAGCTTTCTGGAAAAATCATGAGTATGCACTGAATGAATGGCTACTTTAATTCTGTTCTCTCTTCTCTGTTTGCAAATTTGTTTCTAATGCTGCTCTCTGCTTGTGTTTTCTTCCCTAGAGCAGTCCCAAAATTCTCTGGGTTTTCCTTTTGTTTTCTTTTTGCCAGGCGGAAAACAATCAAAATATTAGAGCTTTCTTGTCTTAGTGCGTGCCAGTAGACTTAGGCTGAAACCTGTAGGGATGTCTGTTTATTGGCTTGACATGAGATGACTACGTATTTGCAAGTCTTTACCATGACAAAGACAAAATGCTTGATTGGAAGGCATTTCACATGACAGAAGCTAAGTATGCCATACACTTGGTTTAAAATGTGTATCGAACTTTTAGAGCTCTTGGAGAGACTTCTTAAAGCTCTTCTGGAGGGGTACTGGGGTGGTAAATATTGCTACTTCAGAAGAATAGCTGTCTTAAGTTACATTTTGCAGACGATGTTAGAAGATGCAAACAGCATGCTAATGCATCATTGTTTTCCTAGTCTACTAGTCTGTATTTGAGTATCTCCTCCTGCTAACGTGACTTCTTGTGCTAAAGTAGTCATAGTTAATAATTCTTTAAAACTGAACATGAAGCTCCCTTACACTCCATATAGCCTCCATGTTGTGACCAGCAGTTCTTGCTGGGCTGTGATGTGCTCTTCTCATCTGTCCTCCAGTGAGCTGTAAAAAGGACTGGCCCTAGGTTTTGCTTTTCATGACTACTTTAGGAGTAAGCTGGTAGCCAGAGAGCTCTTCAGGTGGTGTTGGTGATTATACAACGTTTAATTTTAAACGAAGAAATGGCTTTGGTATTAAGGGGTGAGATGGTATCAGGGTTGCTAGCAGTGCTGTACAGATTTCTTCAGTTTTGTAGTTGGCTTTTGGACTGTTGATATTATTTCACTTTGACAGCAGTAGCCTGGGTTCCTAAGAAAGAACAAATGTCAACTCAGTACTGTAATGACTTCTGGAGATTCTTGTTCTTGGATTTAGTAAGTTAATGAAACTGCTGCTTGAGACCCACTTTAATGAATGTCTTAAAGATCTGCAGATCAGCAGGGATACGTAATAAAATGCTGAATTTTAAAGTTTTTCTTTCTTCCTAGTCAGCGGGAAGTTTGAGGTGCTAAGCTGTTGAGATGCAGTTCTGATGTGACATCTGGGCTCTTTCCAAATGTACTTCTGTCTGGGGAGCGTTTGGGTGGTTTTTTTTTTTAACCAGCTTTAGAATTAATTACTAATACTGTTTTAACTCCGTGTAAATATTGACAAGTGTTGTGGGATACTTCTGTTTGCAACTGTTGCATTATTCCCTCAGCAGAAGTGTCACTTGTGGTTTCACAAGTTTCTGGTCCCCTTGGAGATTTCCAGAGAGTTTGACAGCACTTAACTCTCGTATCTTTTTTCATCATCGAAATCTAAAACACCTAAACACCTACAAGCTATTCTCAAAACTGGAAGCAGCTTGGGCAAAAGTTGAATTAAATTCTCTCTTCAGAAATCTGCATATGCTTACTGTATGTGGTTGGTAATCCTGTTGTGATTAGGATTGTTCTGCTTCTGTGCTGTCAAGGTGACTATGTACTAAGCGAGGCTGATACTGTGTGTACTATGCAAAAGCTGCTCGTGGGGTAATTAACGCAACTTCTTACGCAGACTAATAGAGGTTCTGAGAAAGCAGAAGCAAACAGATGGAGTGGGTGTTGGCATCGCACAGCAGGGGTGCTTAGCTCTTCATAAGTGGGTCAGTAATCTGGAGCAGAAGCTAAATAAGTACATAGGTCCTTTTGACACTAGCCCTCTAAGTAATTTGTAGTTATCTTCTTGCTGAATCCTCCCAGCAAGCCAGTGGGATTCTAATCGCATAATCCCTGTGTATCCTGAAACTAAATGTTGGCACGTGAGTTCACTTTTCTAAAATACGTCATGAATTCGGTAGAATTTAAGATCCTGTCTTTATGCTCTCCCTTGCAGTTTTTGACACAAATGGGGCATAGGAAGGAGTCAGTGAAGAAACAGAGCGTGAGCATCCATGTATATCAGTCATCTTCTAATGGAGCAGTTCCCTCCTTATTAGCATGGATCGTTCTGTTGAAATAAATACTTTGTAACTAGTGATAGCTAAAATCCCAGCCTTTAACAAACCAAACCATGCCATGTAGTAAGTAGTCAACTGGCATATCTGTAGTCTATCTTCGTTATTTAAAAAGGCGTTTTGGTGGTGACAGTGCAGAATATCAGAATCCAAAGTAGGAAAACACAAATGACTAGTTTCAGTGTCCCTGTATTTTGGTGTGGTTTGTCTGCCTTAAAAAGAGAATAGCTATGTTTCATGCTTTCTTCTTACTTCTTTTAAATAAACCTTACCAAAATAGGGTTGCTTTTGTAAAATGTCTGTTAATATACAACTAAGAATAGAGTTTAGTTGGGGTGGGTTTGGGATAATACTGACCTGGGCTGGTGTAGCTCCTATAATTTTAAAATTTTAAAAAAAAAAAAAAAGCTTGGGGAAGGGAAGCATTGAGTTTAGACTCCTTTGTGATGTCTTATGTTCCTCTGAAAACTAATGCAGAACTGACTCTGTCCTTCCTGAGCTGTAACCGGGTACATCCCTATCACATGTTGAAGTCTGGCTTCCGTGCCAGCATTAATCATGTGACAACTGTATTAGAGCCTTATCTTATAAGAAGAAGAATGAGTAGTAATGGAGATGACCTGCCTATATGGAGTACTCCCCAGGTGCAGCCG